TAGTGCAACTAGGGCCAAGGAGTACGGAAACGCTCGTTTCTCAAAAAGTAGAGGGAATCCAGCTGTCTCACTCGATCAGAAGGTGGGAAATATATAATTATAGTGAGCTAATAATGTTCGGAAGGAATCTAATGCATATGTATATGGAAAGTGGTGCATTGGCCAGGTCGGTCAGTATGGGAACTTAGAGTGCAAATGCCTCGGAGAACGGAACCGCTCAGATCTCGCATAGTACACGGAATCTAGTGGTCTCACTCAAATATAAGGTAAGAAATATATGCATCTAGTAAACGTAAGGGTTTGAAAGGTAACTAACGCACATGTGTAGAGAAAATTGCGCATCGGCCAGTCTGGCCGGCATTTCGCACTTATAGTGCAAGTAGGGCCAAGGAGAACGGAAACGCTCATTTCTCAAAAAGTAGAGGGAATCTAGCGGTCTCACTCGATCAGAAGGTGGGAAATATATAAATCTAATGAGCTAATAAGGTTCGAAAGGAATCTAATGCATATGTATATGGAAAATGGTGCATTGGCCAGGTCGGTCAGTATGGGAACTTAGAGTGCAAATGCCAGGGAGAACAGAAGCGCTCAGATCTCGCATAGTACACGGAATCTAGTGGTCTCACTCAAATAGAAGGTAGGAAATAAATTCATCTAGTGGACGTAAGGGTTTGAAAGGTAACTAACGCACATGTGTAGAGAAAATGGAGCATCGGCCAGTCTCGCCGGCATTTCGCACTTATAGTGCAAGTAGGGCCAAGGAGAACGGAAACGCTCATTTCTCAAAAAGTAAAGGGAATCTAGCAGTCTCACGCGATCTGAAGGTGGGAAATATATAAATATAGTGAGCTAATAAGGTTCGAAAGGAATCTAATGCATATGTATATGGAAAATGGTGCATTGGCTAGGTCGGTCAGTATGGGAACTTAGAGTGCAAATGCCAGGGAGAACGGAAGCGCTCTGATCTCGCATAGTACACGGAATCTAGTGGTCTCACTCAAATAGAAGGTAGGAAATAAATTCATCTAGTGAACATAAGGGTTTGAAAGGTAACTAACGCACATGTGTAGAGAAAATGGAGCATCGGCCAGTCTGGCCGGCATTTCGCACTTATAGTGCAAGTAGGGCCAAGGAGAACGGAAACGCTCATTTCTCAAAAAGTAAAGGGAATCTAGCACTCTCACTCGATCACAAGGTGGGAAATATATATATCTAGTGAGCTTATAAGGTTCGAAAGGAATCTAATGCATATGTATATGGAAAATGGTGCATTGGCCAGGTCGGTCAGTATGGGAACTTAGAGTGCAAATGCCTGGGAGAACGGAACCGCTCAGATCTCGCATAATGCACGGAATCTAGTGGTCTCACTCAAATATAAGGTAGGAAATATATTCATCTAGTGAACGTAAGGGTTTGAAAGGTAACTAACGCACATGTGTAGAGAAAATGGTGCATCGGCCAGTCTGGCCGGCATTTCGCACTCATAGTGTAGGTGGGGCTATAGAGAACGGAAACGCTCGTTTCTCAAAAAGTAGAGGGAATCTAATGGTCTCACTCGATCAGAAGGTGGGAAATATATAAATCTAGTCAGCTAAAAAGGTTTGAAATGTATTCAACGCACATGTATAGAGAAAATGGTGCATTGGCCAGGTCGGTCAGTATCGGAACTTAAAATGCAAATGCCAGGGAGAACGGAAGCGCTCACATCTCGCATAGTACACGGAATCAAGTGGTCTCACTCAAATAGAAAGTTGGAAATATATTCATCTAGTGAACGTAAGGGTTTGAAAGGTAACTAACTCACATGTGTGGAGAAAATGGTGCATCGGCCAGTCTGGCCGGCATTTCGCACTTATAGTGCAAGTAGGGCCAAGGAGAACGGAAACGCTCATTTCTCAAAAAGTAAAGGGAATCTAGCGGTCTCACTCGATCAAAAGGTGGGAAATATATAAATCTAGTGAGCTAATAAGGTTCGAAAGGAATCTAATGCATATGTAAATGGAAAATGGTGCATTGGCCAGGTCGGTCAGTATGGGAACTTAGAGTGCAAATGCCAGGGAGAACGGAAGCGCTCAGATCTCGCATAGTACACGGAATCTAGTGGTCTCACTCAAATAGAAGGTAGGAAATATAATCATCTAGTGAACGTAAGGGTTTGAAAGGTAACTAACGCACATGTGTAGAGAAAATGGTGCATCGGCCAGTCTGGCCGGCATTTCGCACTCATAGTGTAGGTGGGGCTATAGAGAACGGAAACGCTCGTTTCTCAAAAAGTAGAGGGAATCTAATGGTCTCACTCGATCAGAAGGTGGGAAATATATAAATCTATTCAGCTAAAAAGGTTTGAAATGTATTCAACGCACATGTATAGAGAAAATGGTGCATTGGCCAGGTCGGTCAGTATCGGAACTTAAAATGCAAATGCCTGGGAGAACGGAACCGCTCAGATCTCGCATAGTACACGGAATCTAGTGGTCTCACTCAAATAGAAGGTAGGAAATAAATTCATCTAGTGAACGTAAGGGATTGAAAGGTAACTAACGCACATGTGTGGAGAAAATGGTGCATCGGCCAGTCTGGCCGGCATTTCGCACTTATAGTGCAAGTAGGGCCAAGGAGAACGGAAACGCTCATTTATAAAAAAGTAAAGGGAATCTAGCGGTCTCACTCGATCAAAAGGTAGGAAATATATAAATCTAGTGAGCTAATAAGGTTCGAAAGGAATCTAATGCATATGTATATGGAAAATGGTGCATTGGCCAGGTCGGTCAGTATGGGAACTTAGAGTGCAAATGCCAGGGAGAACGGAAGCGCTCAGATCTCGCATAGTACACGGAATCTAGTGGTCTCACTCAAATAGAAGGTAGGAAACAAATTCATCTAGTGAACGTAAAGGTTTGAAAGGTAACTAACCTACATGTGTAGAGAAAATGGTGCATCGGCCAGTCTGACCGGCATTTCGCACTTATAGTGCAAGTAGGGCCAAGGAGAACGGAAACGCTCATTTCTCAAAAAGTAAAGGGAATCTAGCGGTCTCACTCGATCAGAAGGTGGGAAATATATAAATCTAGTCAGCTAATAAGGTTCGGAAGGAATCTAATCATATGTATATGGAAAGTGGTGCATTGGCCAGGTCGGTCAGTATGGGAACTTAGAGTGCAAATGCCTGGGAGAACGGAACCGCTCAGATCTCGCATAATGCACGGAATCCAGTGGTCTCACTCAAATATAAGGTAGGAAATATATTCATCTAGTGAACGTAAGGGTTTGAAAGGTAACTAACGCACATGTGTAGAGAAAATGGTGCATCGGCCAGTCTGGCCGGCATTTCGCACTCATAGTGCAGGTGGGGCTATAGAGAACGGAAACGCTCGTTTCTCAAAAAGTAGAGGGAATCTAATGGTCTCACTCGATCAGAAGGTGGGAAATATATAAATCTAGTCAGCTAAAAAGGTTTGAAATGTATTCAACGCACATGTATAGAGAAAATGGTGCATTGGCCAGGTCGGTCAGTATCGGAACTTAAAATGCAAATGCCAGGGAGAACGGAAGCGCTCACATCTCGCATAGTACACGGAATCAAGTGGTCTCACTCAAATAGAAAGTTGGAAATATATTCATCTAGTGAACGTAAGGGTTTGAAAGGTAACTAACGCACATGTGTAGAGAAAATGGTGCATCGGCCAGTCTGGCCGGCATTTCGCACTTATAGTGCAACTAGGGCCAGGGAAAACGGAAACGCTCATTTCTCAAAAAGTAGAGGGAATCTAGCGGTATCACTCGATCAGAAGGTGGGAAATATATAAATCTAGTGAGCTAATAAGGTTCGAAAGGAATCTAATGCATATGTATATGGAAAATGGTGCATTGGCCAGGTCGGTCAGTATCGGAACTTAGAGTGCAAATGCCAAGGAGAACGGAAGCGTTCAGATCTCGCATAGTACACGGAATCTAGTGGTCTCACTCAAATAGAAGGTAGGAAATAAATTCATCTAGTGAACGTAATGGTCTGAAAGGTAACTAACGCACATGTGTAGAGAAAATGGTGCATCGGCCAGTCTGGCCGGCATTTCGCACTTATAGTGCAAGTAGGGCCAAGGAGAACGGAAACGCTCATTTCTCAAAAAGTAAAGGGAATCTAGCGGTCTCACTCGATCAGAAGGTGGGAAATATATAAATCTAGTGAGCTAATAAGGTTCGGAAGGAATCTAATCATATGTATATGGAAACTGGTGCATTGGCCAGGTCGGTCAGTATGGGAACTTAGAGTGCAAATGCCTGGGGGAACGGAACCGCTCAGATCTCGCATAATACACGGAATCTAGTGGTCTCACTCAAATATAAGGTAGGAAATATATTCATCTAGTGAACGTAAGGGTTTGAAAGGTAACTAACGCACATGTGTAGAGAAAATGGTGCATTGGCCACTCTAGCCGGCATTTCGCACTCATAGTGCAGGTGGGGCCAGAGAGAACAGAAACGCTCGTTTCTCAAAAAGTTGAGGGAATCTAACGGTCTCACTTGATGAGAAGGTGGGAAATATATAAATCTAGTCAGCTAAAAAGGTTTGAAATGTATTCAATGCACATGTATAGAGAAAATGGTGCATTGGCCAGGTCGGTCAGTATCGGAACTTAAAATGCAAATGCCAGGGAGAACGGAAGCGCTCAGATCTCGCATAGTACACGGAATCAAGTGGTCTCACTCAAATAGAAAGTAGGAATTCATCTAGTGAACGTAAGGGTTTGAAAGGTAACTAACGCACATGTGAAGAGAAAATTGTGCATCGGCCAGTCTGGCCGGCATTTCGCACTTATAGTGCAACTAGGGCCAAGGAGAACGGAAACGCTCATTTCTCAAAAAGGAGAGCGAATCTAGCGGTCTCACTCGATCAGAAGGTGGGAAATATATAAATCTAGTGAGCTAATAAGGTTCGAAAGGAATCTAATACATATGTATATGGAAAATGGTGCATTGGCCAGATCGGTCAGTATGGGAACTTAGAGTGCAAATGACATGGACGTGGACGTGGACGTGGACGTGGACATGGACATGGACGTGGACATGGACGTGGACGTGGACATGGACGTGGATGTGGACATGGACGTGGACGTGTCCATGTCCATGTCCACGTCCACGTCCATGTCCAAGTCCATGTCCCTGTCTACGTCCACGTCCACGTCCATGTCCACGTCCACGTCCTCGTCCACGTCCAGGTCCACGTCCATGTCTACGTCCACGTCCACGTCCACGTCCATGTCCACGTCCACGTCCATGTCCACGACCACGTCTACGTCCACGACCTCGTCCACGTCCACGTCCACGTCCACGTCCACGTCTAAGTCCATGTCCACGTCCACGTCCACGTCCACGTCCACATCCACGACCATGTCTTCGTCAACATCCACGTCCACGTCCATGTCCACGTCCATGTCCACGTCCAAGTTCTCCACGTCCACGTCCACTTCCACGTCGACGTCCACGTACATGTCCACGTCCATGTCCACGTCCACGTCCATGTCCACGTCCACGTCCATGTCCACGTCCACGTCCACGTCCACGTCAACGTCCATCTCCACGTCCAAGTCCTCCACGTCCACGTCCACGTCCACGTCCACGCCCACGTCCACGTCCACGTCCATGTCCACGTCCATGTCCACCTCCACGTCTTTGTCCACGTCCACGTCCACGTCCACGTCCACGTCACGTCCACGTCCACGTCCATGTCCACGTCCACGTCCACGTCAACGTCCACGTCCACGTCCACTCCACGTCCACGTCCATGTCCACGTCCAAGTCCTCCACGTCCACGTCCACGTCCACGTCCTGGGAGGACAGAACACGAGGAGAGGAGGGGTGGTAAAACTGCCACCCTGGGGCGTCAGTGGGGAAGCCAAGGAAGACACAGGGAGCAGCACGAGGGGACAGCTTGTCCGCAGACAAGTCGCGGACAAACGCCCGAGATCCCCAGACACGGAACACAGACGCATCGCCAACCTTCCCCGTCCACAGCAAGGCTGGGGACATCGCAGGCCGAGAGACCCGGGGGTGAAGGTTGAGCTGATGCGCCGCGTACCTCACCGCAAACGGCCACAGAAAATGGGGGGCAGCCGCATGCATCATGGACGTACGAGCGACATCCATGACCATACCAATGCGGCGCTCAGCAATCCCATTTTGCTGTGGTGAGTCCGGAAGCGTGAAGGTCTGGCGGATCCCCCGTGCACGACAGTAGTCCCGCAGCAGGCGAGAAGAGAACTCTCCGCCTCTGTCAGAGTGCAGACGCAGAACAGGAAAGTCCGAGCCGAAGCTCTTCTGAGCTGGAGACGAGCCTCACGGATCCAGTCGATCAGCACCTCAGTGACCGCACCCTTGCTGCGCAAGGGGAGGACTGTGGTGTAACGCGAGTAGTCGTCAACCACCAACAGGAAGTAGCGCTCGTAACCCTGCCCACGGACGGGGGCTGGGCCCCACACATCCATGTGAAGCGTCTGCAGGGGAGCCTCTGTCGGGGGAGAAGTGGGAGGAGTGAGGAGTAGCCCGGAGGCGACCCTCGACACAGGGGACACAGGAAGGTCCTGGCCCGGAGGGGAGAGGAGGGAGAGACTGGGGAAGACCAGAGACAAGGACACGGGAAGCCATGCTCCGAAGACGGGGCAAGGAGGGGTGGCCAAGACGGTGGTGCCACAGGAGAGTCTCGTGAGACAGGAGGCGACAAGAACAGGGGGCAGACTCAGGACCTGACCGGGACGCAGCAGCAAGCACCTGACCCGACGCAGCCACCTGACCAGACGCAGGGACAGGAGGAGACTCAACGGTCAGGGTGTAGAGACTCGACCCCGGCCGACGCGAGAACGTGGCCAGGTGTCGGCCTGTGCGTGCCTCCGTGCAGTGGGTCACCCGCTGACTCGCAGGAGTGAACTGGTGAACCCCCACATCCTGCAGGTCCGCTCCACTCACCAAGTTCGTAGAGAACGAGGGAAGGTACAGACCCGACAGGGTGCCCGAAGGGGCAGCCGGACACGGGAGGACAGTGGAGAAGTGAGACAGGACAGGACCCCCAGAGGGGTCAGCAAGGGAGACCGCAACCGGCCGGCCGAGCGGCGTAAGGGTAGTGCGGTCTCGAAAGAAGGAGCGAGAAGCTCCGGAGTCAAGTGTGAAAGTGAGGGAGGACGAGGACGACGCAGTACCTGAGAGCGCAGTCTCACCAGTACCTGAGAGCACAGACGCACTGGCACCTAGAGCAGCAGCCTCACAAGCACCTAGCGCAGCAGTACCAATGCCCGGGTCGGGCTGGAAACAACGGTAACCCTCATTCTCCTCACTATAATCCACAACATACATAGCAGCAAGGATAGCATCAAAATCAAAATCAAAGATCGCTACACCAGCCCTGAGAAGCTCATCCCAGCGAGGGATCTCACTAGCCCCAGGGAACTGCTGACGCCAAGCGTCCGTCAGGCGGCCAAAGCAGCGCTGGGTGGCGTGGGCACCCCCACACTGCTCACCCGCGCGGTCGCCGGAACGAAGAACGTAGGTGCAGGGACCAGTACCCCCACCCCTCTGACGCCCAACGTACCACTCACGAAGCTGCTGAGGCGGAGGGATGTCCCGCGAGCGCTGCTGCTGCTGCCGCTGCGATTGCTGGCCACCACCACCGCCGCTACGCTGCTGGGTACCACCTCGACCAGCTCCACCTCCTCCACCACCACCGCCTCCTCCGCTGCCGCCTCCACCGCCTCCACCTCCGCCGCCTCCACCACCGCCGCTGCCTCCACCACCACCGCTGGCACCACCACCACCGTCTCCGCCACTGCTGCCACCTGTGAAATAGAGAACGAGAATGGAATGACTATGAAAGAAGTGAGTACAAATAGGAAACCCTAATTGGGTTGTACCCCCTATGGGATACCCCACTATAGCCTACACAATAGTATAAGCTATATAGTTCTGACACACCCCCATAGGCAAAGTGGGGGAGAACAAGGGGTCACAAGACCAGTCAAGCAAAGCAAAGCAAAGCTCAGGGTGGATCACAAAGTCACCACACATTCCGAGCACAAGTTCAAGGCCACATGGCCAGTTCACATGCAAGATCATATATAGAGATATACAAGAGTCAAGTAAGCAAGAGCAAGAGTATATATAGGCGAAGGTACAAGCAAGGTCAAGAGGAGAGCAAGTGAGGCAAGACAGGCACAAGACCCAACTGCGTGCAACAACGCTGATGATCACAAGGCGCAAGTGCCTTGGTGAAGACATCAGCAGTGTTGGCCTCAGAGGCCACGTACGCAAGTCGCAACTGTCCACGCTGCTGTAGCTCACGAGCAAGAAAGTAGCGGAGAGCAATGTGCTTCGTTCTGTGCTCCAGTCTCTGCTCTCGACACAAGGCCAGCATGGCCTTGTTGTCTACGTACAGGACCGGAGGAGAACGAGGCTGCTCTCCAAGGTCGGTCAACAGGTAGGTGAGCCAGCGTAACTCCTGTGCAGCCATAGCCCCGGCGTAGATCTCAGCCTCACAACTGGAGCCGAGAACAGAGGACGAGCGGGTAGCCCGCCACGAAACAGAGCCGGAACCAAGGCTGAAGGTGTAACCCTGTGACGACCGCTGCGTAGCCTGGTCGTCAGCCCAAGAAGCGTCCGCGTGCCCAGTGAGGACCACTGGACTGCGCCCTCCAAGCACTAGCCCCATGCCCGACGTACTGCACAAGTAGCGCAACACCCTCTTCGCTGCAGCCATGTGCTCTGGTCGGTGTCTCCCAGGAGCAACATAGCGTGCGAGAATGCTAAGAGGGTATGCAAGGTCAGGTCGTGTGCAGGTCATCAGGTACATGAGGCAGCCAACAAGCTCTGCATACGGGCCACTCGACTCTACGGACTTCATCCGAAGGCAGAGCTGAGAGCGAGTGGCGAGTAGGCAGAGGAGTGGCCTGAGGCGAGGAGTACGTGAAGCCGAAGCGCTGAAGGACCTGCTGCACCATGTGTGACTGAGTCAGGGTAATGGTGCGGCGTGCTCTGTCCCGGGTGATCTGCAAGCCAAGATAGCTGCGCAGTTCACCCAGGTCAGTGCACGTGTGTCTCTTCTGCAGCTCGGACTTCACGTAGGCGAGTCCAGCAGTGTCAGCTGTGGCAAAGACCAAGTCGTCGACGTACACGAGGATGTAGAACGGCGGCAGAGAGGTGTCGGTGCGCAGAAACAGCGACGGGTCGGCAGTAGAAGGAGCAAACCCAAGTGCCGCGAGCGTAGTCCTCAGTGTGTCGTGCCACTCACGTGGCGCCTGGCGGAGACCGTAGACTGGACGCCGGAGACTCCACTGGGTACCAGGAGGGAAAGACCCAGTGAAGCCAGGTGGGCGACGCAGCCAGATCTCCTCGTGCAGGCTGCCCTGCAAGAAAGCTGTGCTGAAGTCGAGAGAGTGCAGCTCGTAGTCACGGTGAGCAGCAACGTGCAGCAGGACCCGAAGAGTGGTCATCTTCGGGGTGGGGGAGAAGGTCTGAAAGTAGTCAACCCCCTGCCGCTGACTGAAGCCACGAGCCACGTAACGCGCCTTGAAGACAGGCGGAGAACCCGGCGGCCGCTTCACCCTGAAAATCCACATGCCACTGACGATGTTCGCCCCAGGGGGGGGAACAGCGTCAACGTAGGTGCCTGTGGACTTCCAGGAAGCCATCTCTGCATCCATAGCTGCCTGCCACTGAGAGGAGTAGGGACCCTCTATCGCCTCCGCGTAAGAGCGCGGAGTCGGGATGTCTGGTGCATCCGGGTCTCCCTCAGGGGCTAGCAGTACAGACGCGAGACGAGGTGAAGCGGCGGCCAGACACTGGAACTCCTCCTGCCTGTCCTCAAGGACGTCCGTGCCAAGGGCACACTCACCCCCGACGGACGGAGGACAGGCGGACTCAGACTCAGTGACAAGACGGGCAACGTAGTCTAGACGACAGCGCGCAGCAAAGTCGACAAGCTCATTGACAAGGGCAGACGCAGCAGACGACTCGAAGGAAGGGTCAGTGACAGCTGTAGCAAGGAGACGCGTGACAGTAGGACTGGCAGCACGAAGGGAGTCCGACTCCGGGTCGGCAAGAGCAGGAAGAGAGGAAGCAGGAGGAGAAGGCAAAGGGGCACGCAGAGGAGCAGTGGACGGACGCAGTGACATCCGGTGCGTGCCAGGGACAGGAGGAGGACGCTGACGCGACCCGCGACCACTAGCGCGCTCAGTACGAACAGGCGACACAGGACGAGACGCAGGCTCACGACGCTCAGTAAGACCTCCAGTCGGACCAGTGTAGGGAGACGGAGCAGGCAAAGGAGAGGCAGGCTGTAGCTGTGGCTGTGACCGGACAGGCTGCGGACCCTCTAAGGGAGGAGGAGGAGGAGGCGGAAGACCAAGAACCTGCTGGAGGAGCGGAACGAAGTAAGGTCGGGGCCGCACGGCGACACCTGAAACAGCAGGAACAGTACCAGCAGCCCCGGCAGGAGTACCCACTCCAGCAGCACCTCCAGCAGCACCACCAGAAGCTCCAGAACCTCCAGCAGCAGCACGAGGAGCACTGTCAGTCGGACCGCCAACGGCAGGCTCAGCGCCAACACCCTCAGTAGCACCAGCTCCAGGAGAACTCTCAGACCCAGCAGCTCCAGCACCCACAGTACGAGCACCGGCGGGACGCGAGGCAGCAGTACCCTCTGCAGCCGAAGAACCACCAGCACCAGCAGCACACCTCCAGCGCCTGGCAAACCACTCACGCAGCTCCTGCGGGGAGAGTGGCTCCCGGCGAGACGAAGCACCCCCAGGCACAGCACCCCCAGGCTCAGCACCCCTAGACACAGCACCCCCAGGCTCGGCACCTCCAGGCTCAGCACCCCCAGACGCAGCACCCCCAGGCTCAGCACCCCTAGGCACAGCACCCCCAGGCTCAGCACCCCCAGGCTCAGTACCCCCAGGCTCAGCACCCCCAGGCTCAGCACCCCCAGGCTCAGCACCCCCAGGCTCAGCACCCCCAGACTCCGCACCCCCAGGCTCAGCTCCCGCAGCAGCACCAGAGTCACCAGTGACCTCGACAGGCTCGACCGCGTCTACCTGGGACACACCTGAAGGGGCAGGACCCTGAGGGGGGAGGGGGACTACCGAGGGGGGACCTGGTACCAGGAAGAGCGGGGGTGGGGGGAGGGACGGAGTGCGGTAGGGGAAGAGGCGGTAGTAGGGTACCGACTCGTCGAACGTGACGTCCTGGGAGGACAGAACACGTCGAGAGGTGGGGTGGTAAAACTGCCACCCAGGAGCGTCGGGGGGGAACCCCAGGAAGACGCAGGGAGAAGCACGAGGGGACAGCTTGTCCGCAGACACGTCGCGAACAAACGCCCGAGATCCCCAGACCCGGAACGCCGACGCATCGCCAACCTTCCCCGTCCACAGCAGGGCTGGGGAGGTCTCCGGTCGAGAGACCCTGGGGTGGAGGTTGATCTGGTGCGCAGCGTACCTGACCGCAAACGGCCACAGAAAATGGGGAGCAGCCGCATGCATCATGGACGTACGAGCGACGTCCATGACCATGCCAATGCGGCGCTCAGCAATCCCATTCTGCTGTGGTGAGTCCGGAAGCGTGAAGGTCTGACGGATGCCTCGTGCACGACAGTAGGCACTCAGGAGGCCAGAGGAGAACTCTCCGCCTCTGTCCGAGTGCAGACGCAAAACAGGGAAGTCAGAGCCAAAGCTCCTCCGAAGCTGGAGACGAGCTGCGCGGATCCAGTCGATCAACACCGCAGTGACCTCACCCTTGCTGCGCAAGGGGAGACTGTGGTGTAACGCGAGTAGTCGTCAACCACCAGCAGGAAGTAGCGCTCCTGACCCTGTCCATGGACGCGGGCTGGGCCCCACACGTCCATGTGAAGCGTCTGCAACGGGGCCTCTGTCGGAGGAAACTGGGAGGAGTGAGGGGCAGCACGCTGGCGCCCCTCGACACAGGGGACACAGGTAGGGCCAGGGCCCGGAGGAAGGGGAGGGAGAGACCGGGGAAGACCAGACACAAGGACTCGCGAGGCCATGCCTCTGAGCCGAAGCAGAGAGGGGTGGCCAAGGCGGTGGTGCCAGAGGAGGGTCTCGTGAGACAGACGACGACACGAGCAGGGGGCAGACTCAGGACCAGACCTGGACGCTGCAGCAAACACCTGACCAGACGAAGGGACCCTACCAGACTCAGCACCTGGAGGAGAAGCAGTGGTCAGTGTGTACAGGCTCGACCCTGGCCGACGTGTAAACGTAGCCAGGTGACGACCTGTATCCGCCTCCGTGCAGTGGGTCACCCGCTGACGAGCAGGGGTGAACTGGTGGACACCCGCATCCTGGAGGTCAGCACCACTCACCAAGTTCGTCGAGAACGAGGGGAGGTAGAGACCAGTCAGGGTGCCAGAGGGGGCCGCCGGACACGGGAGGACAGTGGAGAAGCGAGACAGGACAGGCCCCCCAGAGGGGTCAGCCAGGGACACCGCAACCGGCCGACTCAGCGGCGTGAGAGTGGTGCGGTCCCTAAAGAAGGAGCGAGACGCTCCAGAGTCAAGGGTGAAGGTGTGAGAGGCCGAAGCCGACACAGTACCTGAGAGGGCAGACTCACCAGCACCTGAGAGCACAGACGCACTGGCACCTAGAGCAGCAGCCTCACTAGTACCTGACGCGGCAGTACCAATGCCCGGGTCGGGTGGGAAACACCGGTAACAGTCATCCTCATCACTACCAGTCACAGCATACATAGCAGAGAGAATAGCATCAAAATCAAGATCATAAATAGCTACACCAGCCCTAGACAGCTCTCCCCAGCGGGGGATCTCAGCGGCCTCCGGAAACTGCTGACGCCAGGCGTCGGTCAGGCGGCCAAAGCAGCGGCGGGCTGTGTGGGCGCCTCCACACCTCTCCCCTGCACGGTCACCTGTGCGAAGAACGTAGGGGCAGGGACCAAGCGCACCACCACGCTGA